TCGTTTGGGCTTTTACTCCAAAAAGAATCCAGTAAACGAAGAAAAAAATTTCTTTTTGTCCTGGAAAAGGAGAATAAAATCCTGTAAATTCGATCGGAAACTTTGGAATAAATGGAATTGATTTTTATATTTTTGTATTTCTTACATTAAATGTAAGATATTTGAACATTCATGTCAAAATATAGTATCACATTAAACTCTTCGAACTTTTTTGTGTAATGGATTATATCTGCTTCATCTTTGCTCAGTTTTTTGTAGGGATTTCAAATGTAACTGGGTTGCGTGACGTCATGACCAACTATTTAGTTACACAGGCAACGACTTTCATTCTCAAATTTAAATCAAGCAATTGTTTCTACTCTAGGCGTCTATCAGTATATTCACATGTCCCATAAGAAAACTTAACTTAACTCAGTGGCGAAACAGCCCATAAGGGTCAAGACCTACTCTGCGCAACTTAGTATACGTGACCTTGGGCCCTGAGGTGCAAGAGCAGATGATCCGGTCAGGTGATTAGTCCGGCGCGTAACCCCCAGTACTCATTTATCGACCCATTGAAGGGATGAAAGGCTAAATCAACCTTGCCCAGCCCGGGGTTTGAACCTCGGACATGTGGTGTGGAAGCGAGATGCACTAACCACTCAGCCAATGGGCTTCGATTCATATCCCTATTCATTTAAAAGCTCTGGGATTTTATCAATTACCTGCAGTTTTGTAGGACTGTTTGATTTATTCTATTGTATTCAACCAGAAACTTGTGGCCACCCTCATGGTCAGGAACTCACCAGTTCTGGTCGGTCTCTGCATTGTCGAGTCATAAACCTGAAGTCCTGATGACACTGAAGACCCCCCGTGAAGAGGGGTTGTGGCACGTTAAATCTGTTGTGGTTAAAAATACTCAAGTTGGCGTGCCAGTTCAGGTGCCTTCTTCATTACATGACCGCTGCTCAAAATTTCGAGGTTCTTCAAGAGTAGCCCTCATGTTGATTCAGTATGTATGTTGATAAACATGCGCTCAACCAGGAACTTTTTTTTCATTGTGAACTATTGAATTAAATTGAAGTTAATTTAAGTGATTAGTTTCCTCGCTAAGACTCGGTTATTGTACACAGTTTAATCAAAACAATATCATCTGAATCGTTTAATAATTTAAATTAATGAAAAGGACAATATCGCACACGCGCTACGCAACATACTTTTCTCAAATTAAAAATATTTGATACTAGCGTGGATAAGAAAACAAGGTACTTTTCTGTTTCGCAAAAACAAATTTCGTCAAACAGGCTTTATCAGCGGCAACGCACAATATGCACATAAAAAATGTCAATAAATGTTAATTCTCATTGGTTTTTTACCTATTTTTGATGTATTATGGGTAAAAAAGACGTCTCTTATACGAAAAAACCATGACTTGTTTGAAAATGTGGTAGCAAATATTTACCAGGGGGAATATTCCGTTTGGAGTCAGTTGTATCACTTTTGGTGACTTTATCCCCTGCACCGGCGAAACGGATAATTACTGAAAATAATTTTCTGAAATTATCACGGAAAACAATCGATTAAAATGATATTTTGTTAACAGAGAATTTAATAAAATTTGTTCAAAATATTTGTATTTCTTTGGAAACGTCTATAAGCCAACTAAGCGAAAATTCAAAAGTTTTATAATTTTATCCACACATTTTATTTTTAATTGAAATATTTGCGATGCAAAGATTAATTAAGTATTAGGAGTATAAAATAAATGAATGTATTATTTGCCTAGAAAAAAATACCTTTGGTATTATACTTAGGTATTATATTGTCGACCAATCTCGTCAAAGCAAAAGACGTCGCCAAATGCCACGATGTACAGCCAAGTATGGAAAACCTTCCCAGCGGACGTTTGACCATAATAATAATAACGATGGAGTCGTGGGTAGCCTAGTGGTTAGAGCATCGGACTCCAAACCGGAGGGCCTGGGTTCGATGCCCAATGCCACCAAATACCATCCGAGTACACACAGAGTACGTGCTCGTTAAATCAGTGGGTCCGAAGAAACCACGAGTGCAGGGAGCTGGAGAATATTTCCCTCCCCTCCGGTTCCATGCCTAAATTGTGGAGGCGGATACAGGTGGTGTCGCCATCTATCGTTAACAAGTTCAACCTATCTCACAAGCTCTGGCAATTTCCATTCCTTCCCTTAGGGAATGACACGACGACAACAACAACAATATTAACGATGACAGCATTTGGCGATGTCTCCTGTTTTGGCGAAATCGGACGACGGTATAATACGTAAGTACCCCATAATCTATTTTACATTTAGCTTAGGCATTATTTTAACAACTCCGAACTTGAGATAACAGCATTTTTTGCTTCATACTTCACGAAACCAAATAAACTTTTCTTTATAGTAAGCATCATATTACTAGGACGTAAATGTTGAAACAATTTTTCAGATAATAGAGCTAAGAAATCATACATAATTTTGATAAAATATTATTTATTTATTTTTCAAATGGGCTGCATATTGACAGTTGATAAATATTATTGATGCTATTGAAGTGGTGCGCATCCGGAGGACAGAACCTGGGACCTTTGGTTTCGTAGTGACATACCACTAGACCAAAATGATCATTTCAACCCGAGGGCTGTACTGGCTTATATAGATGATACCACTACACACTCCCCCACGGTGGATAGGCGAATGAACAATATAGTGGTTATGGCGAGCGTGTGTGTTTTTGCTGTTAATTGGAGGTGTTGCGTCAAGTGAGTCTGACGACTTTGCTCAATCGAGTGAGTCTGATGAGTTTATTTATGCTGCGTCAAGTGAGTCTGATGAGTTTGTTTTGCTGCGTCAAGTGAGTCTGACGAGTTTTTTTTGGTTGCTCTTTTTACGGGTATATGGTGCCACGGCAGTTCAGAAGGTTACGCTTTTTCTTAGTTCAACCATGTTCACCAATGAAGTGGCGCGCATCCAGAGGACAGAACACTGTGCATTTGGTTCCGGAAGCAAGTAACATACCATTAGTTCAAAATGATAACTTCAGTCCGTAGGTTGTTCCTGGCTTATACAGATGATACCGCAACACCATTAACTTCAAAATAATTTCAGCCATGCTTATTTTCATTCTGTTTATTTTTAAATTTATTTTTTTAATGAACAGAACATGTATGATAATAAACATGTATGATTCATTTATATCTTATTTGTGATTTGCAGTTTAAAAATATGACACGTACCATGCCATCGACTAATTTGTTCAAATCAAAAAAAGTCGCCAAATGCCGCAATATGCAGCCAATAGTGGATGGCGACAACTTTTTTTTTGTAGACGTTATAATACGTAAATACTAATTACATCTAATAGTTTTAAATCATTTTGCTAATTTTTCTATTTTAAAAACGTCTTTTTAAAACAATGAAGAAAATACTAGTTAATCAAAACAGAAATTCTAGCTCTAAAAAATTGTTTGCTAGAAAAAACTTCATTCAATAAATCAATACATCGAACTGACCTTTAACGTAATCATAACACACTCGATAACAACATAATTAAACTTCTATGCAAATTTAAACTAGTTCACAAAGAATTTGTCTTTAATTTACAATAGATTTATTGAGTTGACCTTTGCATTTACTGTTATAAGCACATACAAAAAAAAAATAGTCAATAGTTTTTTCAAGTTGAATTAACTTTCAAGGTATCCGACTATGTTTCGAACCACGATTTTGAAAAAGCTTATAAATAAATAAATTTTTTTGTTATTTGGTGCCACTTAAAATAGTATTTACATATAAAATTATTTAAGAAGAGTATTACTATAAAATTTATTTAAATGCCATTTTTTGGCAAAGACTGAATAAAAAAAATGACATATTTTCAAAACATTCTCCTTTTTGCAGAAAATGCTTCAATACTAATAATATTTTCCCTATATGTAGCTAAGACTTCTGTACAAAGCCTGAAGCAGAATTTTTGAAAAATTAACAATATTTTCAAAATTACAATTGATTAAAATAATAAACGGTGTTTTTCGTTAAAAAAATTTCTCAATCACTGATATATTAAAATAGGAATAAATCCATTTCTAAATTCCTTTTTTCAAAAATCCAAGAACAGAAAACTCTGTACAGAAAACTCAGCTATATATAGGTAAACTATTATAATTATATAGTATATAGTATTAATATTATTTAGAATTTTAATAATATTCTTGAAACAATTTTACATGCAAATTCGAATTCAGAAAGACATCAAATATCAAACAAGATATCAATCATTGGCATGGCCAAGTAATTTTAGCGCGTTTTTCACATGTTGTATTTTACAATATAATGCAACTAATAAACTTTTTACTAACAGAAAGTAGTACTATACTAAAAAAAAAAAAAAAAAAAATTTAATTTAAAAAAAAATTTTAAATATTTAAAAAAATTTTTTAATTATTAAATTTAAATATGATTCGGCTTATCTAGGGCACAAATGCGACCAAATGCTGAAAACCCAAGGTCAATCGGTTAATTATTGGCTGAGAAAAAGGTACGACAAAATATGGAACGAAGATGAAGACGAGGAAGAAGACGAAGACGAAATTTGCGTCCTAATAGCGCTTTTTTTTTACACTACGTGAAAAACGCGCTAAAAATTTACTCATTTATACACTTTTTCAAAATCATTTTTATGAGTGTAGTCGGATACCTTAAGAAAAGAAGCTAAATCCACTTTAACAAGTAATATAAGAAAAAGTAAGTCAATTCCTACTGAGGTCAACAAAGAAACACTTTATTTTAGTTACTTTTTATTAAATAATTACAATTAATATAAATATGTATTTACATATAAAAGAATCACACTATTAAGTGGCAAAATAGAAAGCGATTTTCCATTTTCCTTTCTATACATGGCGTTACACTATTATTTTTTTTTTGTTACAATTTATTCATTAATAAAACTTAATTATTTCAACAATATGGTACAATAATAAGAAATCCCCTTCTCAGAAATTAAGTCATCCCAGGTGGGATTTAAGCCCACGGCATTTGGATTAGAAGTCAAACGCGGTATCCATTGCTCTACAGGGACATGACGAGCTATTTTCCTTTTCCTATATGGTGTTTGACTATTATTTTTGTTTGCTACTATTTATTCATTAATTAAATTTAATTAATGAATTAATATTTGTAAAAACTGTATTAACTTCAAGTGTCATCCACTGCAAGTTTTAAAAAATGTACTTGAACTCGAGGGGATGAATAAAATGCATTTTATTAACGACTAAAAATTTGAACAAGATATATATGCAAATAAATATATATATAGGAAGAGTGTGAACTAATAGTAGGAATTGAAAAAATGGCTACAACTACCAAGAATTCTACTCGTTTTTTGTTGTCTTCTATCCGAATCCGACATTATCCTCACTTTTTCGACTTTATTCTAAAAAATTACATTTAATCTGTCTCGGTCGCTATTGGTTCAGATGAAATTAATTCTCTCTCTCATTCCGGTTAATAATCATCAGAGATTTATTTAGCCTTATCTCACAATGATGAGCTTTCACTGTTTGCATCGCTATTTTATCAATCGATGAAATTGATCGTAGTGGGATGGAATGGGAATTGCATTACTCCTTTTGTTTTTGTGTTCTTTAATGGAAGGAGAGGTTATTCATTCTCATTTAGATGAACTACTTCTGATTGGTTTATTGAAGCCAAATCTGATTACGTATGCAGTCGAAAGAAAAGATGAGAAGCTTGTTGATAAAAGATAGCGATGGAGATGTTTTATGTCAGCTATATAATACGTAATTAGCATGATAAAGCTCTGCTTACGTTCTTAATGTACAAGAGAGATTTTGAAGTATACATAGGAAGTGTTATTTTGAAACCTTTTGGTATTCGGAAATGTTGAAATGCAGGAGGAAGAAATGTGATTAAGATCCACAATGTCTTCTTATTATTATATCAGGAAAGTAGGCTATGACATGTTATTGAGTTGTTCTAAATCAATGAATCATAGTGTTAAAATTTAGGGGGAACGCTGTGACGGATCTATATGTGACTTTCTATTAATAATCCTCTTGGGTATTCTTTGGGCCAGCAAAATTCACCAATATTCTCCTAAAGAAGGAAACGTGATATGCAAATTAAGTTTATTATATATATTTCTTGTTTGCGAGTTAAAAATGTTAGTGAATTAGAAGTGAAGAGAATAGCTAGCAGAAAGTTAGAAAGTTAGAAGTTTAGTTAACCAGAGGTGACAAGATAGTTACAAGGTAAAGATTACCGTAAATGGTTAAAAAAGCCCTGTGAAAGATTTAAGAAAAGAGTTGTCATTGATAAAGTATATTGATTAGAAAACTGCTTAAGTTCAGGTACTGTCACCTTCCTATTGCGTTGATATTTAATGTATTAAAGTCGTTAAGCGGACATTAAGTATACGTCTACCGTGTAAAATAACATTAGGGAAGAACCTTTATCATAAAGTGGATATTTTATGTATTCTCCCCAAACGCGACTCTCGTCTCTTCCCTCTGTTGTTTAACTGGATTATCCTATTGGCGCCAGTTGGCGAGAATTCTTTGTATAGATTTAGCTCCGAGCCAACTGTTGCAACCTTTTTGTATTCAGTTCGAAAAGTATAACGATCTCATATGGTTGAGATCCGTTTCGCTCATTAAAATTTGTTAAATTTACAGTCCATTAATATTTTGACCACATCATAGTGTTAAGTTGATTCGTGTTTGAGTCGATTAAAGTGATAAATAAAATAATTGGAATTTACCATGTCGAATGATCCTTTAATTCCTTCCACGCCTTTAGCTGGGTCACAGGGCAGAATGGAAATAGGTTCGTTTCAACGTAGAAAGAAAATGAATCTTTATTGTGGTTGTGAACAATACTTTTTTGTTGTAATTTTGTACCTTTTGTAAGGAAATGAAAAAAATTTTATTTGTTCATCCCCTATAAACTATCAACGTTTTTTTTTATCATATCTAGTTGTAACGGGTCTATTCGTGAGCCTCCTACTAATCATCTTAGAAAAACTTATCTCTTTGAATATTATTCCATTGAAAACTTTCTCCTGGGGAAGAAGATGCGATTTATGTAAATCATGTCTTATATTTAAACATTAACTTTTAGGTTAGAAGGAGAGAGGTTAGGAGTTAGATGATAGAAGTTAGTGATAAACGTAAAGTAGTAGAATGGTAGTCGAGAGTGACTCGTCAATTAATTACTTAATATTTAAGATTGATAATTGACGATTTATAAAATAAGATATTCCAATTAGAATCATATTGACTAGAAGTCGAATAGATGAGACCGGATTGCGATTATTTAGGACGTATATTACCAAAACGTTCTAAAAGTAAGTGATTCAAATCATTATTAAATATTAAATATATCGTCGTCTACGTCGCTTTTGCTCCAATTCTTTAATATAAGTCTATTTCCTACCCAGGATCATTCGAATTGATTGGCAGAACAATAAAATTGATTTTTTTTACTATGGATAATCTTCATTCTAAATCCAACAGTAATAACTGTCGGTTCCTGCTTTCTTCTGAAACCCCTTGTCTACCCTCAGACCCGGCTAGGTGTGTGGGAGAAACTGAATAATCAGCAGACATGATTCACACTGATTATTTTATTGTGACCAAAATATCAAGCAGACACAATAACAATCTAGTTAAGATAACAGATCAGATAGTAGAGCGCGGAGGTGAGACTCAATAGCCTGGGGATAATAATACGGCCCCTCAACTGATTCCACGATAGCTTAAACACGCTCAATATAAACTACGTCACACACTAATAAGCTAGACTTCTATTCAAATAAGGATCACGATACCTGTACTTTTATGAAGTCAAGTCCTACACATGAACCTTGAAGGCGATCCTTATCTGGATTTAATCACCGTTGACTGATCCACTCTCAGTGATCTTCCATTGATAAACTCCAAATGCACTTAATCATTTCACAATTTTTCACTCTCCAACAAACCAACTAACTCTAAAAACTCGTGAAAACAGAATTTATATAATATACTTAATTTGCATAATCACGTTTTCTTTACTCTGTGAAAGTTGGTTGAAATAAATGCTTTTCTTAAAGAGTCCTGAAAGGGTTAATAGAGCGACGTATAAATCCGCCACACAAACACTGATGGATGTCAGGGGACATCCATCCCATAGTGCTTAATTACATGCCCAGTGGCTGAGTGGTAGCAACAGATCCAGGGCCACGCAACAGATCTAGGGTTCAAACCCTGGGCTGGGCAAGGTCCATCGGCCTTTCATATCTTCAATGTGTCGATATTTGAGTTCCAAGCTTGGTTAGGAACAAAAAAACTGGGGGCCTCGCGTCAGACTGACTACCTGACTGGAACATCTGCTCATGTCTCTCAACACCTAACGGCAGGAAACTGAGATGGGCACAGTAGGCCTTCTCACTCATGGGCTGTTGTGTCACTGAGTTTAGTTTAGCTTAGTTTAGTGCTTAATTATTTATATAAACAGAAGCAAGTGCATCTTGAAACAAAACGAATGCTAAATAAATATTGAACGATTGTTTGACAATTGGTCAGTTGGTTGGTCACTAACGTGGCACTCACAGAAGCTACAAGAGGACTGTTAGCAATGACCTGCAATTCTCAACTATGACGAAGTACAACCAATGCATAAAACAATGTGACGGATCTATACGCGTCCTCTAATTAACTTCTTGGGAATTCCTTTAGGGAAAGAACTCTTTCAACTAACTTTCACCGAAGAGAAGAAAACGTGATTATGCAAATTAGGTTTAAGATATATCTTCTATATTCGGTAGTTTTTGAGAGTTAGTGAAGTTAGAATCGTAGGTTCGTAAAGTGAGAATTGAAGTTTACTGAAGTGAGGATAGCTCGGATGTGAAGTAAATTAACGAGAAGCGGGCAATCCGGCAGTAGTACGTAAACAGTGTAGGACGTGTGAAGTTAGAATCTATAAAAAGTGCTCAAGTCAACTATTAGTGTTCAAGACCTTGTCTAACGGATAAAGAATTGTAAGAGTTCAAGTACTGTGCTCATATTTTAAGTAGAAGTTAGAGAGTTAAATTCTTAGTGCACGTCCGAGGTAAAAACGAGCATGTACAAGTTTGTGACGGGTGCTTACGCGTTTCACTAACCTTCTCTCAATTCTTTTAAGATTGTATTTATTTTAACCGATCCCCGCTGAGAGCTAAAAGTGTGACTTATACAAACAAGATAGTTTCGGGTTTAGCGAGTTCGAAAAAGATATAAAAGGGAGAAATGGAATGAAGAGAAGAGGATGACTACGTGGTTTGATAGAGGAGTTAACTAAGAGGTTGATTAAGAAGGTGATTCTGAGAGATTAGTTTAACTAGTGAAGTTTGTTCGCCGTAGGAAGATTATTGAAAAAGGTTCATTAATTCGGTTCGGACGTAATTGAAGATATCAAGGATTGAAGCCGCTCTTTAGATCCTTCAAGTATTAAAGAATCCTGCCTTAAAAAGATATCAGGTCTGTTATTTTCATAAATTAGTTATAAATGCGTAGTTTGATTGTATGCGTTATTCACCGTAGTTTCAGTTAGTGTTCCGTCGTTCATAATTGAATTCTTATCACACTCCACTGTAATTTGTTGTTCTTAAGGCTTGATTAATATTTGTGTATTTATCCATTAAGATAGATTAATAAATGATATTGATTTATTAATTTAGTAGTCGTTAATCATGAATCCAACATACCCTAATTTAGATAATATGCAAAGGGGAGTTAATAATCATAGGGGTAGTGAGAGACTACGACAAGTTATCTTAGGAATATAATTGAATGATCGTATATAGTATCCCCACTCTATCTTGTCTCACCTCAGTCTTCTAAGTGTTGATCAAATTTATTTTAATTGAATTATTATTGTATCTGTGTTGAATATTGTGACGAATAAACAATTGTAGTGAATCATGTCGTCTGATCAATTAGTTCCTCTCACACATCTAGCCGGATTAGAGGAAGAAGGAATAATAACTCCTTACAACATGGTTTGCATTTTTGAAGAAAATTTAAAGAAACTACTTCCACA